ACAGTTAAAGGACAGAGGATTTCTACAATAAACTTTCCTGTATTATATATTTTTACCTCTATTTACTATTCAACTGTTTATTTATATTTCTATCCTCTTTTACTGTTTATTTTTACTTCTATCCTCTTTTCGTAGCTGGGTCCTTTGATGAATCTCTGTACGTACACATGTGGAACGTGGACGTCCTCTGGTGGAATTTCTCCGACTTCCACAATCTCCTCTACTTCTGCTTTCGTGATACGCCCGGCCTTACACATCGGGGGGTTAAAGTTACGAGCTTTCTTTCTACAAACAGAAAACAGTTTACTCAAATGCATTCCTCAGCCTTATAAAACAAGAACTTTCAACAAAAAAGGCTCATTTATATCACTTTAAATTATCTAGTGCCTTGCCATACCTTTAATGAGAAGTTGCTTTTTGTGTATCTTGAATTACTATTTAGTGTCTTGACCTAAATATTTAAGATACTGGAGTTTTCTTTCTATATCTATTAACCTAAAAGTAAGGATTTCCACTTTGTCTACTTTGTGTACCTTGATTGTGTGCCTTGATCTACTAACCTTGTGTGCCTTGATCTACTGACCTAAAGGTGAGATTTTCTACTTTGTTGACCTTGTGTGCCTTGATCAGGGCAAAGTCACTAGTGATGGCTTCCTCCATGATGTACTTAAATCCATTGAATTCCCTTACCTGAAATAAAGAAATAAAATCATTGTACTCAAACCAAACACTCCAAGCATTCTAAAATTAGGATGAGGAGAGGATGTGTACATTATTTTATAATATTAAATATTGGGGTTTTTTGGGGGGTGGGTGGGTGGGTATTTTCTTAATTTTGGTGTTTATCTTTTGGTAAACATGAGCATGCTTTATCTCATTTATTAAAATCAACAATATATTTTATGAAATGTTCAAAACATTTTATTGCGAGAGAATCATCCTTTTCGAATGTCAGTCATAAATATTGTAGACTCTGGCTCCCATACAAAACAAGAGGCCCATGGACAACGGGCAATGTTTTGAAAGGATTACAAACAGATGAGACAAATGAACAGTTATATAGACAAAAGGACAGGATCTAAATAAACGTCTGCAGATATCCCTATTAAAAAGAATTTCCAGCAATTTGAATCCTTGGCATTTTAGATCTTTTGAGTTAAAGATGTGTTTGTGAAATACTGATGCCCCGTAAGGTAGTTCATGGAGAAGTATGAAGTTTCTCAAGTGCAAGTCAAACTCCAAGGTCAAGAGATAAAAATATTGTTATACAAAAAAGGACATGTATCAGTGTATATAGCTGGTAAATATGAAAGCTCAAGAACCAACCATTCAAAACAAATGATCAAGTTTTTTTTTTATTGTTTTTTTATGGTTTTACAAAAAGCAAAATGAGATAGAGAGAGAGAGAGAGAGAGAAAAAAAGAGAGAGAGGGGGGGGGAGGAAGGGAGGGAGAAAGAGAGAGATATCAATTAAATAAATTCTTCCAATACTTCCAGGCCTCATCAAATTTTTCTGCCCATGATATGATATGCTCCAGATTCCAACACATCTTTCCAAATCAAATTTTTAATAAATTTCAGTTTTCCTTTTACATATTCTGTACCATATAATGTTAATTTTTTTATCTCTAAGTCTAAAAGTGAATGTATACTGCTCTTTTGCATCAAAAGTTTCTTCACCCACATTAGTTTTAAAGACATAATAAATTCCTTGATGCTAACCATTTTTATACCACTATCTTTGTAATTTTTATGTATATTAATTTTTTCACTCTGTAAATATTTTTTCCCATAACAAAGGTAAAAAAAGTGTTTTCTAATTCCTTTAACTGAGCTTTAGAAGGATTTGGAAGTGAAGCAAAAATGTGGTTTAATTGTGGTAGAAGAAGGGTTTTGAACACTGTTAAACGCCCTAGTGGGGTGAGATTTCTGCGATTCCAGTTTAACATAGTTTTTTTTTATTTTTTCAAACTTTTGTTTAAAGTTTAAATCACCAATTTTCTGTAAATCAACATCAAAATCAATACCAAGTAGTATTAAAGCGCTTTTTCCCCATTCTAAATCTACACCTACCTCCAAAATGTGATTGCTATGTTTCATACTTCCTATCCATATGACTTGTGTTTTACTGTAATTGATGTGAAGTCCTGATATTTTAGCAAAATACTTCAAAGTTTTTAAACTTAATTGTAGACACTGTGCACTACCATCCAATATAAGAGACGTATCGTCTGCTAACATAGTTATCTTATATTCTTTATCTAATACCTCGATTCCTTTTATATTTTTATTATTCCTAATTAAAATTGCTAATATTTCAGCACAAATCAAAAATAGATAGGGGGATAGTGGATCACCTTTGCGACACCCACGGTGTAGGAAGAATGTTTCAGAAATATGACCACCTTGATTAACTGCTGCTGTAATATTTGTGTAAAATAATTTTACTCACTTCTGAATAGAGTTACCAAATTTAAGAAATTGAAGTGACTTTTGGATGAATGACCAGGATATTGAATCGAAAGCCTTCTCAAAGTCAATTAGAAGAAGCAGCCCTGGGATATTTTCCTCTTCTGTATATTGCATAATATCATAAATGGTTCGAATATTTTCTGATATATTTCTACCTTTTATAAAACCTGTTTGATCAGAATGAATTATTTTGTCTAAATGTTTTTTAATTCTTTTATATTTTATATACTGTATTCAATAAAGAGATTGGTCTCCAGATTTTTAGAAACTGTTTTGGTTTGTCTCCCTTTGGTAGACTTGTAATGATACCATGCCGTTGTGTTATAATGTATTATTAATTAAATAACCATAATTAATTGACCTTACCACAAAAGTACCTAAAAGTTTCCAAAACATTTTTTAAAATTCTGATGTGAACCCATCTGAGCGTGGTGATTTATTAGACTTCATTTTATACAATGTTTCCCCTGCTTCTTCTAATGTGATATGACCCTCTATAGATTTAGAGAGTTTAACAATGTCAATTTAACTTCCTCCTTCAAATTGACATTTTGTATACAGTCATCGATATTTCGATATAACTTTTGATAAAAGTGTTTTGTCTCTTTCAAAATATCAAACTGATTATAAATAATGTCTCCATTATCCAATTCTACTCTTGGGATAATTTTATTGAGGAAATTTCTGGATTCTAAACTGCAAAAATATTGTGTTGGTTTTTCACCTTCTTCAACCCATCTTGCACTAGATAGAATATAAACACTAGCCATTTTTTGTTTTCTTATATTTTCTAATTCTTTCTTTTTAATATCAAGTGCATCTACATCTAATGCAGTTGGTTCACATCTCTCAAGATTCTTCTTTTCTTATTCTAGATTTTTTTTAAAGGATTAGTAAGAAATACATTTACCCCTAATTTCCATAAGGAGAGTCTCCAAAAATAATTGATCATTTATTGTAAAAGTATTTTTTTTTTCGTCAATTAGATTAAAATTTTCAAAATTGTAAATAGGCGCTGCATATTGTTTTTTTTTTTAACATTTTCTATAACAGTTTTTATTGTTTTTAAAAACTCATCGTCATACAAAAGGGAATTGTTGAACTTCCATAACCCTTTGCCTTTCTTGAAGTCATCAAAAATTAAATTCAGACTAATCATTGAATGGTCAGACCTATAACTAGGTTCTATGGAGCTTGCTCTGACACTGGATAATAAGTTTCCTGATATAAGAAAGAAATCTAATCTACTTTGTTTCAATGGAGATTTCTTCCTCCAAGTATATCTTAAGGTATCCGGATGAAATTCTCTATATACATCTACATAGTTATTATCTTCAATGAGTTCAATAATCTTTTGTCTTGCATTTGGGTTATTCACGTTTTTATAATTAAAACAATCTAATTCAGGTTTCAAAACTAGATTAAAATCACCGCATATTATAATGTTCTCAGATTGAAAATCCTCAATATATTCTTGAAGTTTAGAATAGAAAGCTGGGTTATCATTGTTTGGCCCATAAACACAAAACAGTAGTAACTTTTTTTCATCTGTGGTAAATTCTAATAAAAGGTAATTACCGTCACTATTACCCTTCTGCTTAGAAACAGAAACAGAAAAATCAAAATTGTTTTAAATAAGATTGCTATGCCTCTGGAGTTAGAGGAGTATGAACTAAACTAAAGTAACATTCATAGCCCCATAGGTTCCTAATATCATTTTCTGCCTCTGGTGTGAAATGTGTGTCTTGAAGACAGTATATATTATAGTTCATATTTCTTAAATAATGAAACACGTCTCTACGTTTGTTGATGTCCCCCAAACCTTGACAATTAACAGATATAATTTTCAACGACATTTGCACATTTTTAATCATACATATTTACCTTTGATGAGACCGGAAGCCTTGGATTTATGGATATTGCTCTCTACAGAAATTGAAACAAAGAAAGAAAAGAGAAAGGTTAATGTTTTCTAAGAATTGGTCAAAACTTCAAGGTCAAAGAGTTAATTAACGGTATACAAGAAAAGACCTTGTCAAAAGAAATACACATGCAAAATCAAAAAGCCATAGCACAAACTGTTCAAATTCTATGGCATAAATTTAAGTTTTTCAAAAGTAAGTCAAACTCAAAAGTCAAGGCCAATAGGATAAAAGTGTTGGTATCCAAAGAAAGGTCTTGCCACAAGGAATAATCCTGTAAAGTTTAAAAGCCGTAAAATGTAAATACTATACTTAAACATTTCTTTTGTTTTCAATTCATATATTAATTTACCTATTGTGTGTAATTCAAAGCATGAGAGATTAAAATGAACATTTTGAGAGTTTGTTCTAGACCACAACCAAATTATTACATGTATTTCAAACAATTCTTTTATAAATTGATTTTTTCTTTAAACTTGGCACTCATAATTGCAATGCCATGATTTATATCTTGAATGACACAACAGGGTCATATATATATCAAAATGAAAGTAGATGGATTTTTCTTTACTATATATAGCGCATGGAACTTTTCAGTTCTTACCTTTCAACATGGACACCAGTAGAAGTTCACAAATGTAAGTTTTTAAATGAAAAAATATAATTATGTATAAAAAATGCTTACATTATCTTAATCGGTCTCTTTAAAGTTTTTGAAAAATTAATTAATCAATGAACGATTGATACATGTGAAGCATTTTTTAAAATTAGATAAAGGCTTATGGGCCACAACACTCTTCCTAGCAAATTAAGATCTCTTATTGTGATAAATTTTTTTCCCTGTAAAATTAAGTTTGATTTAATTTTAATCCAATCATAGACCTAGGCATTGTGATTTAACTAATTACAATTACAATGAAGATATACCCGGTATTTCAATCATCAACATGGCTATATGTTTCACATTAATTTGTATTATTCTGGAGATGAGAGTTTTTAGTGTAGTGCAGGTATAAAATAAAACATATCATGGATTTACATGTACTTTGATGTTAACACATTTAATTTTGTTGTCCTTGAGTTTATGAAACATACGTCACAAAGCATTTTGTTTTGTGTCATCATATTATGACAACATAAAAAGATTTAATCATTCTTGCTATAAACTGCCTCAAACATCAAATTAAATATATTATCTAGTAAAATTGTATTTTACAAAAAACTTGCATAAGAAAACATTATTCCATTAATTATCCAAATGTAAGTAAACAATGGCTATTTTCATTTTTGATTTAGTTCATTGTCTGTGAACATTTTTTCCTGAAAAAATAAGGCAGTTACCCTATAGCTATGTTGAAAATAATCTAGATATGCTTGATATGTGCATCTGTTTATGAAATACTTTTATAATGTCAAAAAGGAATGTTTCATAAGTGTTTAAAGCTTTCTTAAAATAAAATAATAAAATATTGGAATAGCAGCAAATGTAAAAAAAAATAATATATTTGAATTGTTATGCATTGCTGTAATACTTGATGATCCAGGTGCTTTTCAAATGCATGTTTAAGCTTACAAAATTTTCAGATTACAAAGTAATGGTTTTTTTTATGATTGCATTGTATATTGGTTTACTAAAGTGACATATATGCTATATATATATATATATATATATATATATATATATATATATATATATATATATATATATATATATATATATATATATATATATATTATCCTTTTACATTTTACCAGTAAGACAGCCATAGAACGCATATCAGAGTCAGTGTTTGTCGGACTGTGTCGTAAAGTGGGGACATCACAACAGGTGGCCATGAGGAGAGATATGATGGACATCAAGTTTATGGTGCAAAATCAAGTGACAAGTGAAGAATCCAGTGTAATGGTGAGTGGAAGTCAAAGAGAAGGATTCAGACTGAAAGGATCAGATGAAGACTACATGATCTGGCCAAATAATCACCGTGTGATCTGGAAATTATCTCAGTCTCAGTTTTACAACACACACAGACAAACACTGATCCTCTGTGACTTTTCGGATAGTCCACCAGGATTCACTTTGTTATATTTACTGTCACCAAGCATGGACAGAGACATTCAGAGAGCATGTGTTAGAATGAATAACAAACTTTATATATCTAGTTCTATATATAGAAAGATCAAAATATGTTCTGCATCAATAAGTAAGACAACTCAACATGGACCCTGTGCCAGTGGAACATATTTAACACTAGAATATGATTATGCCTACTGTTTTGTTTGTGACTTTTGGCCTCCAACTGCCTCTTCATGGATAGACAGATGTCACTCATGGCCCCAACCTCATATTGTTGATGATATAGTAAAAAATGGATGTCACTTTGTAGCAATTGGACATAAGCTAGGAAATCATGAAGATCATGAATGGAGAATTTCTTCTTCTCTGGCTGAACAAAAACTAGTGAATTCAATGAACCACTGTCAATTCTTAACTTATGGCTTGCTTAAATTGTTCTTAGCGGAAATAATTAACAATGGACTGAATGAATATGATAAATTACTGTGTTCCTATCACATGAAGACAACAGTTTTCTGGGTGATTCAACAAAATACAATATCTCACTGGTGTCCACAAAATCTCTTGGTGTGTTTCTGGGTCTGTTTCAAACTCATCCTCAAATGGGTGTATGAGGGGGTCTGTCCTAACTTTTTCATTCCTGATAACAACATGTTTCTGAGTAAAATTCACGGTGTCAAACATCAAATATTTATGAGACTGTATGGGTTGTATGAGAAGGGTTTAGCATTCCTGCTACACAGTCCCTCCATTAGGTCTTATATTATTAATGTCCTCCATAGCCCAAGACTCTCCATCTGTACAGATGATCTTACTCTGAGTTCTGAGGCTGAGTTTGATGTAAACCTATTTCTTGAAGTAAGAAGATATGACACATTAAACGAATTAGACCTACAAAGATGTGTGATACATCTTTATACAATAGAACAGATGATAGGTTCACTCCTCCTGACACAGTATCAAATCATAGTGCTACAGAAACATACAGCTTCTGTCCTTCAGAAAACTGCATTTATATTATACATGAAAACATACACACATAAAAACAAGCTGAGGTATAGAGCTGACAAAATCTCCTGTCGCATGCTGAAAATAGCAGCCAAATTTGGTTGTATAACTGACATGATATACATAGCCATGTATTATTACAAGACACTTAGATACATGGAAGCTTTATCTATTATAGAGATGATCAAGGTCAAGTTAGCACAGCCATATTTGATGTATAGGTATAATATAGATAAAGAAATGTATACTTAGTTAACAGTTATAATAGTTAACGGTAGAATAGTTAACGGTAGAATTTTTGGTGATTCATATGGAAAATTTACTTGCCATAACTATGCAGGTTCAAGTGTTGTCGATTACTTTATTGTAACAGAGAAATTACTTGACGATATTATGTACTTTCATGTATATGATTTTTTACCATTCTCTGATTGTCATTGTAAAATTTCACTAAAAATACTATCATCTTTTACAAGGGAGATAAATAACAATAATCTTCAAGAAATGCCTATTCGTTACAAATGGAACAGTTCACTAATAAGCCACTACCAGAACTTTTTTACACACCCTATTATCCAACAAGACATACAAACCTTTTTAAATAAAGATATACAAATGAATGAAAAGGAAATTAATGAAGCTACAAATGATATCCATAACATTTTTGAAAAAGTAGCAAAATTATCACTAAATAAGAAGGTTCATAAAAATAAACAAGTTAACAAAAAATGGTTTGATTCAGATCTTTGGAAAATGAAGAAACAACTTAGTGAAAAGGCTATCTTAATATCTAAATTTCCTAACAACCCTTTCATACGAGGGTCTTATTTTAAAGCTAAAAAAGTGTATGCTAAATTAAATAAATACAAAAAACGACAGTTTGTTCAAAATATTTTCGACAAGTTAGATCAACTAAAGGAAAATAATCCTAAAGAATACTGGAATTTAGTCGCATCAATCAGAGAAGCCAAAGAGGGGAATAAGGAAAAAACTGAGAAATGTATTGAACCAGATATGTGGCATAACTACTTTAGTACCCTGTTTAAACTGCCTAATAAGCATTCAGAGAGACTACAAATTATTCAAAATAAAATTAAGGAACTTGAAAATGGACCAAACTTTATATCGTTTAGTAAACTAGACTTTAAAATCTCTTTAAAGGAATTACAAAAATCTTTGTCTAGTATAAAATCTGATAAAAGCCCTGGCCTGGATAATATTACCAACGAAATGTTGAGAGTAGCACAAATTTACATGAATCCTTGTATTCTAAAATTGTTTAACAATGTCTTCACTTCCGGAATTTATCCCAGAAAATGGGTAGAAGGTTATATAACACCTATTTTTAAATCAGAAAATCCCCGATTACCCCAAAATTATAGAGGCATAACCATTACCAACAGTATTGGCAAACTTTTCAATATAATACTTAACAATAGATTAGATAATTTTTTATCGGAAAATAACATCATTCACGAAAGCCAAATAGGATTTTCAAAAAAAGCTAGAACTTCGGATCATTTATTTGTAATGAAATGTCTGATCGACAAATACACCAACAAAGGTAATAAACGTTTGTATGCTTGCTTCGTTGACTTCCATAAAGCATTTGATACAATAATACACGAAGGCATAAAACTTAAACTTCTTCAATTGAATATAAATGGACTATTCTACAAAATAATATGCAGTATGTACAAATACAGTTATATCTCGATTAAAATTGATAATAAATTAACCCAACCTTTCTCACCTGAACTAGGAGTAAGACAAGGTGATGTCTTAAGCCCGAATATATTCAAAATATTCTTAAATGATCTCGCAAATTTACTAAATGAAGATGTTGTTAACTCAGTCTCACTTTTCAAAAAGCAAATAGGAGCTTTATTATATGCAGACGATTTAGTATTATTATCTGACAACCAGCTAGCCCTGCAACAAAAACTTGATATGTTATACAAATATTGTAAAGAATGGTGTTTGGAAATCAATGTTAACAAAACAAAAGTAATTATTTTCAACAGAAGTGGGCATTTATTAAAAGAAACATTTTCAATTAATGGTATTAATATAGAATGTGTAAAAACGTATAAATACCTAGGTATAATACTCTCAAATTCTGGTTCTTTCAAAGAAGCAAGGTGTAATTTATATAACAAAGCTTTAAAGTCATCATTTAAAATATACAAAGATATAAAATCAACAGATCCACCCATTAAAACTTTACTTCATCTATTTGATCACATGATCAAGCCAATAGCTACCTATGGATCCGAAATATGGGGTGTATTGTCATCATCAATGCAAAGAAAAGAAAAATGTTTATTTGATATATTTAAAGATTGGGAGATTGAAAATCTTCATATGAAATTTTGCAAATTTATCATAGGGTCTGGGAAAAGAAGTACCAATATTGCAGTTCTCTCTGAACTGGGTAGACAACCAATATTTTATTCTATTATTATAGCAATTATATCTTACTGGCACAGACTGGAAAACATGCCTGAAAACTCTTTGTTATACAGTGCATACAAAGAAAGCATTATCTTGGACAGTTGTAATGTAAATAGTTGGTTTTCAAATGTAACATATTTCTGTAACAGAATGGGCATAGATTTGTCAAGATGTAAATCAATGAAACTAATAACTTTAAAGAAACATCTGAAAAAAATTATTAGAGAAGATTTCCTTCAATATTGGTTTAAACAAAGAGATGATGGTTGTCTATCGGGTAAACTTACAACATATTTCTATATAAAAAGAAATTTTGAAATTGAAAAGTATTTATTATTAAAAAATTTTGAACAAAGAAAAATTATATGCAAATTTAGAGTGAGTTCACATAACCTCAGAATAGAAAGTGGAAGGTACGAAAAAAAACTAAACTCTGCTGGAGAGCAAACCACCCTTGCAAGAAATGAAAGAATTTGTAGAATGTGCGACATGAACTGTGTGGAAGATGAGATACACTCACTGATTGAATGTCCATTATATAAGCATGATAGAGATGACTTTTTTAATATTATTGCTAAAAGTAATAAAAATTTCTATACTTTAACAAATAAAGAAAAATTTTTATGGATTATGTCTAATGAAGATGACATGTTGCTTATCAAGCTGGGTAATTTTTTAATCAATATCTTTAAAATAAGAAATAGCAAATTATGCAATGTTAAACAAAGAAACAAATAAATACAAAAGAGTAATATATAGAAATACTTTAAACAAACTTTTAATTACAGTATATTGATTATGTATGTTGTAATCCCCAACTGCTGTAACATCATTTATCTTTTGTTAGTTACTGCTATCAATTTTGAATTTCTGCTTGTATGTTTTTTTTTTCCTTATTACTTGTATGCCCTGATGGGCCCCAAATTGGTATTAATAAATCTTATCTTATCTTATCTTATCTTATCTTATCTTATCTTATCTTATCTTATACTGAGGTTTTAGGGGGACAGTCCTGGTCTACTAAGATGAGACAGGCTGTAGCATGGGAAATCAAACTTCAAAATAAAATACATTATATCAGTGAATTGATACCAGAACAACAGTCTGCTCTTCAGAATGAGGAGTCTGCATTAGATTTTCCACCCTTTATACTGTTTTACATGCTAGAGATCTTATGCTACAGACATGTGGACACAATGAGAGTACAAACAGCTCTAGATGATCTACAGACCCTAGTTCACTATGATCAGGATCAGCTTATACCTTCTTATCTCAGAGACATATCGTGGCAGATTCTGGGGATCTGTCAACAGGTGACAGGGAACCTCCAGGCTGCTCTATACTCATACCAACAATCTCTCAGACAAGAGCCATTCAACAATATACAAACAGCTACACTTATGAGAATGGAGCAATGAGGTTTCCTTTCCATAAGATTTTTTAATCAGTAAAATAAATGCCAAATATTTATGAAAGATTGGCTGATAGAAAATGTATTTCTCACTTCACAGTCTCTGAATGATTTTTTATTTTAAAATACCCCTGTAAGTGGTCCATGGACGTTAATGCTCACCCGAGTCACCGAGTCACATTAGCCATGCTGTTCTTTAGCAGATTTTTAGATGTATTTATCCCATCTTTATTTCCATGAAATTGTGTCCCCATGTAAAGAAACAAATTCTGATCCACAAACATGAAATGTTGTGTTGATTTTATATCAAACATGTTGTATTTACCACGAGCCAAAACAGAAAATTACAAACGTTCATTTATATATTTATCTGCATTTTTATGGAACATACTGTCACAAAATATTCGAAATTCTAGGTTAGTGGATGTTTTTAAATCTGTGTTTCTCACTGAGTATTTTGACAGACTCAATACTTAAATGTATTTTATTCCAATGTTTGAGTGTACCTTCTTAAAAGATATGTTTCTTCATGTTTATATATGTATCTGTTGTACTTTTATATCTTGCGTTTATATTAAAATGTTAATTTTGTATATCCTTATGTGCTTGTAAATATATTTTAATGCAGGACCACAATGAAAACTAGCTTGATGCTAATTGTGTTATCCTGGATAAATAAAGGTTATCATTATTATTCATGTAACATCATCGTTTAATGTGACTTTGGTGTTATGGAGATCTGTTCTCTGTATACAAATCTGGGCTTTAAAATATGACTTTTAATCATCTCCTTCTCAAGAACCACTGTGACAGGAGAGATGGAATTTATAGGGAAACATCCTCAGATAGTGTAGATTCAACTTTGTATTCAAATTATATTTATATGGAAGCATTCTCAGGAAGTGTAGATTTAGATTTGTTCAAATCATGAACCCAGGGGCCAGGGCGGGTTCACAGGGGACGATCAAAGTTTTAAAAAGGAATACCAAGACAAAACTTTAAAAATCTTCTTCTGGAGTACAGCAAAGCCAGAAATTATCATATTTATATGTAGGCATCCTAAGGTATTGTAGATTAAAGTTTTTTTCAAATTATGGCCCCTGGGGGTATGTTGGGGCCACAATCGACAATATAATTTTTACCTAGAAAAATGTAGGAAAAAATCTTTTTTCAGGGACAGCAAAACAATAACTGGGCATATCGCATATTGCCAGATAGTAATTATATTTGATTTGTTTAGATCATGACCAGGATCTTAGAGCAATAACCACATTTATTAAATATTCAGTCTCAGTAATTAAGAATTCAAGAAAATGAAGTGTTCCAGGGTTACTGTAGATAATTTACTCATCTGATTCACAAACTCCTCAAACTTTTTTCATAAATTGTTACCAAAACACCAGCAACATATATTTCTTTTTCCTTCAACAAATTCACCAGAGTTTGTTAAAAACTTGAGTTACAAATGGGTTTTTCATCTTAAGTTTTAGTTTTTTAAATCTTTCTGATAATAATAGCTCAAATTTCATCATTCAAAGTGCATTTTTGAACAAAAATAAATCTTATTTCATGTAAGAGATTTTAGTTATTGATCATGCACATTAGTTGAATAAAATTTTTTCAGTCACAATGACGTAAACAGAAAGTTGTTATGCACTGCCAATATCACTTGTAACATTTTGAACCTTCAGATTAACAGAGGAGGCACTCAGACTAATGCGAGGTAACAAACTTTAAACAAAAACATTGCAACCAACATAATTATGTATGGTAATCACCAATATCCATAAACCTGAAAAATTTGACCTATCTATTAGGTCCTACCTCAATGTATAATTTTATATTTGTGTGGTACTTTATACAGTAATTGTATAAATTGAATAGTACTGTATAATTGTGCAGCTGTATAGTAGTATATAATGTAATAACTGTGTAATACTATATTATTGTATAACTGTTTAATACTGTATCATTGAACAACTGTGTAGTACTCTATATTGACAATTATACTGTACAGTATTGTAGTGGCTACTACAAGGACCTTATAAACAACTACACAATTATTGTTTACATGTTCACTGATGTAAATGGTAAAATTCCCGACATTCCTATCTTGTCATCTCGCTGTTAACATTCTTTAAGAAGGTCTTTTGCCCTTAGAGTTTTTATTTGTAAGAAATGTTTGAAAATAAAATTTATTTCATAAAAATTTTCATAAAGCATTTTATTATCTGAAAATCCAATATTTTAATTGCATGTACATGTATAATGGACGTTAAATGATTCTTTATGATATCATAAATGTACATGTATGTGTAGTTCAGTGGTCACTGTAAATTCCATATATCCTACACTCTCTAATTTTATCCCTCGATCTGAATCACTATCGGTAATCATTATAACAATGATTATAACAACAATTACAATGATAGTAGTTAAGATGGAGAATCAGATGATTTTTTCCTTCCTTGCGGCACACTGATGTTTCTTTGCCTCCTGTAGCTGTTGATTCCTACTTTGAACGTCCCCTACCGCCAATTCAATTTATAAACCTATGTGTTACAACCAAACACAAAAACTGTACAGAAATATCACTTTTATTCTGAAACAAATCAAATATCTCAGAATTCATACATAAATCATGAATAAAAAACATTATATTATTTAAAAATGCCCTCAGATATAAATCTTCAATTGTACATGTGTTATTTGTACACATCTCAAACCAAAATATATAATAAAGAAAATTTTAATTTCCCCTACCTCATATATCAAAATGTTTAATACTAGTACAATGACCCAGGACAATTTATTTTTGGGAGGGAAAAAAGTAAATTGTCAAGACTCTATCAGAAAAAGCAAATATATCATGGAATAAAAAATCAATTACAATTTAATTTTGAAATAATTATAACTATATAATTTAGGTCATACATATTGTACATCCTTAATCAAACAGAGAAATGAGTAATGAAACAATGTATTGAAGCCATTCAAGCAGATATTTGTTTCTGAAGAGTACAGAAAACTTTTAACATTTTAATTTATGATGCAGGACTTTAGGAGACTGTGAGTAAAATCACTTACACAAAACAAAATATAGTAGATGAGCAAGGTTTATCCCTACAATACAAAACGAAACATACAGATATTTGTCTCACAATTATAACATGAGGCTCAGATCACAGAGTTGAGTGTTTTGACCTCTACACCAGTGTTTAAGTCTATAGCTCTTATCATGCCACTCTGTTTATAAGTCTACACATATCACACAGACGTCAGACAAACACAATGACAAGACCAGCAGTGAGTTGTCTCCCCATTATCTATGTCTGAATCTGTCCCATTACTTTAACATCCGGAGCAACCTGAAATAAGATTCATATTAAAAAGAATTATAAATTATGATACTGCTCAACACAAGACATGGATCTGGATATAGAAATAATCCATCTCAGTCTCAGATGTATTTCCACAGAGGATTCTCAAATGGATATCACAACATTATTTCAAATATGGCAAAGTTTACAAATTGTATATACATTAAATATTTTTTTTAATTTAATAACCTCCACACATAGAACAGTTTGTCAATTAATTTTGCAAATTGTATACACATCAATCATTTATTCATAAATGAATCCTAAAACACTACGTAAAGGCAATATCTGTTATTATTTATTGCATGATAGTGAGGGAAATATGAAGACTTATTCAGCCAAGAAAAATCATATATCATATATCAAAACCTTTGAAATAAACATAAACGTTCACATTCAGCACTGCTCTCAAATTCATTCATTTTTTACGTAAAGTTACAATAAAAACCTAAGGTCAACACATTATCATCAATTTTGTGACGTAAACCAGGCTATTGTGACGTCTATTTCTCTCGGGAGTTTTCATTCAACGAACTAGAACTATATTGCGGGAAAATACACTCGGTGTTCCAAAGAGGTAGAATATGATAAAAAGTGTGCGATGACCGGGAAATATGTAGTTTTATGACCGCTCACATGATAATCTAGAACCAATCAGATAACGCGTTGTGTAGAATATTTATAATGAGGTATAATAATAAAAATTATGCATATTTGCTTCATTCAATATTTTTTTTTTAGTTCAATAACTTACCCCCGTAAAATCCCGAGTATTGGGCACGCTCTTTTTCGTCAGAAAAATGTTCAAAAGTAGGGATGCGCTCAATACATCGGAACAAAATTCATCCCCCTTTTTTTCAGGTCACTTTCTCAGTGCCGAGGACCATTTTCCTGATCCATTTCAATTGATTACCCTTTTGTAACCAATTACATCAAAGTTAATCGAATTTTAGAGAGTTATATGCGTAAGTCCTACCTGTTGTAGAAATATACATATACCTTAAGTATTGAAAGAAAGAAAACCGTTTCCATGCTTTCTAAAATCAAATTCTGATGAAAAACGATCTTTGTTTATATTTTATTTCCATTGCATGTTTCACCATTTTGAACTACCGTCGCTTATATCATCAACGAACAGAATGTCGCTTAAGACATAGATGTATTTAATTAATACCTATAAATAAGTCAACAGCTATAATCTTTTTGATGTTTTCTGATTTATTCTTATTTCTATAACTTATTTTTATGTTTTTAAATTTAATATATGTGATTTGAGTTACAAATTGTTAGGGATTCTATTGCCGCGTCATTGCTATATTTAACTTCAGTCTAAGTTGTCATATAGGCCATGAGTGGCATGACCGTTGTTTTATATAACAATTATCACTTCAACACCTGCGTTATTAAAACACTAGGCAGTGGAAGCACATATAAACGTTTTTGTTAAAACAGTCAATTACAACCAAGAAAATTATCAATGGATACCAAGAACTGTTTAATTACTAAAAGCTTATTATTATAAGGAGTAACTAATTTGCACGTACCACAAATTCACAGTTGGTGGCACCAACAATGCTGGCGACATCTTCATTTTTTGCGATCTCCGTTAAAATTAGTCCCTTTTCTGAGTCAACGTCAAACACACACTGAAATATAAAGGATTATAATCAAACACACAATTTTAATGATGAAGATCTCTCACTTTTTACCACAGTAGCTCCGTTTACTGATAAAGATTGACTGCATCAGTGTTAGTCCTACCTTGTCTGTGATGATCATATCCACACAGTTTTTACCCGTCAGCGGCAGATCACAGCTATTGACTATCTTACTGTTTCCTTTCTGAAATATATAAACTCATTAAACTTATACTGAACCATAAATCAAACTATAAACTTACTGATAAGGTTTTAAATGAGTAAACCTAAGTCAGAATATTATACAACCTTGTCCTGGTGCTCCATGGTAACAATAACCTTAGTTTTGTGACTGGATACCAGATCCATAGCTCCACCCATTCCCTTGACCAATCGACCCTTAAATAATTATGGAGCACAGATCAGTCAAACAAAACATCTGTTCATTAAATGAATTATAAACACACAAATTCCCCATCAGAATTGAAACATGAAACCAAAAAAATTTTCTTCACAAAGAGTACCTTAAGTTTTTATTTATAAATTATAATCAAAGTTAAACTGATTTTCCTGACATACACTCTTTAGCTTACCGGAATCATCCAGTTGGCCAAATCTCCATAACGAGAAACTTGTAATGCCCCTAGTATGGTCAAGTTAATATGTCCTCTGTAAAAACAATATCAGTCATACAATTAAACAAGAAACTTGTAATGCCCCTAGTATGGTCAAGTTTATGTGACCTCTGTAAAAACAATCACTCGTACAATTAATGGAGAAATGTGTAATGCCCCTAGAATGTTTAGTTAATATGTCAACTGTAAAAATGAATTATGTTTCAAATGTGATATCCATACCCTGTAAAGTCTTTTTTTAATTAAAATGATTGGAGGCAATAGTCAATGTATTTTTGTACAAAATACAGGGATGTAGCCTTTAACTTGAAATATGATGGAATACAAGACTGGAACCTTATCAGATTAAAAATATAACTTATATTAACCGCGTCAGCTCCTTTACTGGCATAATGAAGTTTAAGGTAAAATTCGTTTGTTTGAGCTGTGTTTTCTTTAATAAAATGTAGGGGTTTAAAAAGCTTATGATTTGCTATATCAGTTTAATTTGAGCAATAAACAAACCCTCGAATCATAGCGAAGGAATCATCACTGGAGAAGAAAGAGCTGCCTTGGATGTTGGTGACGGTCTGTTTGCCCGCGTTGATCAGATCTGGGTCAACCTCATTTGGTAATGGGTAAGGACCCTGTAAGGGTACAATATAACGGTTATTTTTCCTTCAGAATATTAATGTTATAATGTTACAGTGAGAGTAATGGGATAAAACCTCTCTCAAATCACAGTTATCTCAGTATAAAGTAGCACATATAAAGCAATTCATTTTTTAATAATCAAGATAATTGGGAAACTAACCAATCCCATGATTCCGTTTTCACTCTGTAGATGGACAGTCATTCCTGGTGGGATATAATTACTGGCCAACATTGGCATTCCAATACCCAGATTGGCTGAAAATATTGAGCAAAGATAAAAACATATAGATTGGCTGAAACTATATGACCAGAAACAAGCAACATTCAGATTGGTTGAATTTATTTTACCAGGAATATCAGTAATTTTCAGATTGACTGAAATTATTTGACCAGAAATATAAACAAAAAGTCATGTAGATTGGCTGAAAAAATCTTAGAAATAAGAAACTTTCAAATTGGCTGAAAATTATTTGACCAGAATTATAAACAGCATTTAATTTGCACAGCACAGTTAAGGTTATTATCCAATATAAATAATGTACTAAAAATGATCGCTATCCTGATTACGAATACATTTTTAAATATAAAATATAAGTCGATATTTCCATTGCACACCTTAACTGTACTGCGTGGTTGAAAATATTTCACAAGAAATAAAAACAACACTTGTCTACCATATATTCCATCATGGAACTCCAGAGCTGCCCGCTTTATGATTCTGTTTCTCATTTCCGCGGCCTTGTCATTTGTCTCTGGTTCCTCTTTACCTTCTGTCCGTGTTGTCAGTCTCTGTATGGAAGATTATACATTTATTGACTGAGTTCGAGGGTAACATGCGTTTTGTCGGACCCAAGAACCAAACTGGCCGAAGGCAGACAGTTTGGTTCCACTGTCCGACAATTAAAACGCATTTTGCCCGAGAACTCAGTCAATAAATGTTTTGTTATACCTTTCATATTATTTTAATTTATTTTTTTTTTTATTTACATGCATTTTGTACTTTATTCCGTGATGTAACATCAAATCTTTCCATGTTTAACACAAGCGAATGAAAATGAGATTAAGCTCCACCCATTCTGTGACGTAAGCGGTCCAACATCTCTCCGAGCGGTCCAACATCTCACTCAGCGGTCCAACATCGATTTTTTTATGCCCGCTCAGCAAAACATTAAAAATGTTAGACTTTTTTTCGTATAGAATTGTATAGGAACAAATTTCTAAAGGTATAACAAAATTCATTAAGAGACAGAGGATTTCTACATTAAACTTTCCTTTATGATATATGTTGACCTCTTCCCCCCTTTTCTGTTTAATTTTACCTGTATCCACTTTTTAGCTGTTTATTTATATCTCTATCCTCTTCTACTGTTTATTTTTACCTCTATCCTCTTTTACTGTTTATTTTTACCTCTATCCTCTTTTTAGCTGTTTATTTTTACCTCTATCCTCTTTTACTGTTTATTTTTACCTCTATCCTCTTTTACTGTTTATTTTTACCTCTATCCTCTTTTACTGTTTATTTTTACCTCTATCCTTTTTTACTGTGTATTTTTACCTCTATCCTCTTTTACTGTTTATTTTTACCTCTATCCTCTTTTACTGTTTATTTTTACCTCTATCCTCTTTTACTGTTTATTTTTACCTCTATCCTATTTTACTGTTTATTTTTACCTCTATCCTCTTTTACTGTTTATTTTTACCTCTATCCTCTTTTGGTAGCTGGGTCCTTTGATGACTCTCTGTACGTATACATGTGGAACGTGGACGTCCTCTGGTGGAATTTCTCCAACTTCCACGATCTCCTCTACTTCAGCTATCGTGATTCGCCCGGCCTTACACATCGGGGGGTTAAAGTTACGAGCTGTCTTTCTACAAACAGAAAATAGTTTATTCAAATACTTTTCTTAGCCTTATAAAACAAGAATTTCAACAAAAAAGGGTTCATTTATATCACTTTAAATTATCTAGTGTCTTGTAATATCTTTAATGCAAAGGTGCTTTATGTGCATCTTGATTTGATGTCTAGTGTCTTGACCTAAATATTTAAGGTACTGGAGTTTTCTCTCTATATCTATTAACCTAAAAGTGAAGATTCCCACCTTGTCGTGATTGTGTGGCTTGATCTACTTAAGGTGGAGTGCAACACCACCTTTTTATTTTATAGATCTTTGAGTCATCCTTTCCTCAGTATCTTAAAAGTCAGTTTTCCCACTTTGTCTGCCTTGTGTGCCATGATCTACTGACTTAAAGATGATGTTTCCCACTTTGTCAGCATTGTGTGCCTTGATCTTCTTACCTTAAGGTGAGGTTTCCCACTTTGTCTGTCTTATGTGCCTTGATCTACTAATCTTAAGGTGAGGTTTCCCACTTTGTCTGTCTTATGTGCCTTGATCTACTAATCTGAAGTTGAGGTTTCCTATTTTGTCTGTCTTATGTACCTTGATCTACTGACATAAAGGTGAGGTTTCACACTTTATCTGCCATGTGTGCCTTGACCTACTGACTTACGGTTAGGTTTCCTTCTTTGTCTGCCTTGTGTGCCTTGATCTACTGACCTAAGGTGAGGTTTCCTACTTTGTTGCATTGAGTGCCTTGATGTACTGACCTAAAGGTGAGGTTTCCTACTTTGTTGCATTGAGTGCCTTGATGTACTGACCTAAAGGTGAGGTTTCCGTATTTGTTGCCTTGAGTGCCATGACTTACTGATTTAAAGGTAAGGTTTCCTACTTCATTGCCTTGAGTACCTTGATCTACTGACCTAAAGGTGAGGTTTCCTTTTTTGTCTGTCTTGGTGTGCCTTGATCTACTGACCTGAATGTGAGGTTTTTCACTTTGTCTGCCTTGTGTGCCTTGATCTACTAGCCTAAATGTGAGGTTTCTTACTTTGTCTGTCTTATGTGCCTTGATCTTCTTACCTAAAGGTGAGGTTTCCCACATTATCTGCCTTGTGTGCCTTGACCTACAGACCTACGGTTAGGTTTCCTTCTTTATCTGTCTTGTGTGCCTTGATATACTGACCTAAAGGTGAGGTTTCACACTTTGTCTGCCTTGAGTGCCTTCACCTACTGACTTACGGTTAGGTTTCCTACTTTGTCTGCCTTGTGTGTCTTGATCTACTGACCTAAATGTGAGGTTTTTCACTTTGTCTGCCTTGTGTGCCTTGATCTACTAACCTAAAGGTGAGGTTTCTTACTTTGTCTGTCTTGTGTGCCTTGATATACTGACCTAAAGGTGAGGTTTCACACTTTGTCTGCCTTGAGTGCCTTCACCTACTGACTTACGGTTAGGTTTCCTACTTTGTCTGCCTTGTGTGTCTTGATCTACTGACCTGAAGGTGAGGTTTCCTACTTTGTTGTCTTGAGTGCCATGACTTACTGATTAAAAGCTGAGGTTTCCTACTTCATTGCCTTAAGTGCCTTGATCTACTGACCTAAAGGTGAAGTTTCCTACTTTGTCTGTCTTGGTGTGCCTTGATCTACTGACCTGAATGTGAGGTTTTTCACTTTGTCTGCCTTGTGTGCCTTGATCTACTAGCCTAAAGGTGAGGTTTCTTACTTTGTCTGTCTTATGTGCCTTGATCTACTAGCCTAAATGTGAGGTTTCTTACTTTGTCTGCCTTGAGTGTCATGACTTACTGACTTTAAGGTGAGGTTTCCAACTTCATTGCCTTGAATGCCTTGACTTACTGACCTTAATGTGAGGTTTCCCACTTTGTCTGTCTTGTGTGCCTTAATCTACTGACCTAAAGGTTAGGTTTCCTTCTTTGTCTGTCTTGTGTGCCTTGATATACTGACCTAAAGGTGAGGTTTCCTTCTTTGTCTGTCTTGAGTGCCTTGACCTACTGACCTACGGTTAGGTTTCCTACTTTGTCTGTCTTGAGTGCCTTGATCTACTGACCTGAAGGTGAGGTTTCCGTATTTGTTGCCTTGAGTGCCATGACTTACTGATTAAAAGCTGAGGTTTCCTACTTCATTGCCTTAAGTGCCTTGATCTACTGACCTAAAGGTGAAGTTTCCTACTTTGTCTGCCTTGTGTGCCTTGATCTACTAGCCTAAAGGTGAGGTTTCTTACTTTGTCTGTCTTATGTGCCTTGATCTACTAGCCTAAATGTGAGGTTTCTTACTTTGTCTGCCTTGAGTGTCATGACTTACTGACTTTAAGGTGAGGTTTCCAACTTCATTGCCTTGAATGCCTTGACTTACTGACCTTAAAGTGAGGTTTCCCACTTTGTCTGCCTTGTGTGCCTTGACCTATTGACCTAAAAGTGAGGTTTCCTACTTTGTCTGTCTTGTGTGCCTTGATCTACTGACCTAAAAGTGAGGTTTCCTACTTTGTCTGTCTTGTGTGCCTTGATCTACTGACCTAAGGTGAGGTTTCCTACTTTGGAGCCTTGAGTGCCTTGGTCTACTGACCTAAATGTGAGGTTTCCCACTTTATCTGCCTTGTGTGCCTTGATAAGGGCAAAGTCACCTGTGATGGCTTCTTCCATGATATACTTAAATCCATTGAATTCCCTTACCTAAAATAAATAAATAAAATCATTGCATTCGAACCAAACACTCCAAATTGTAAAGCATTTTGCGGAAGTGTACATCGATTTAATTATATTATTGTTTTGGGGGTTTTATGCCCCCCCCCCCTTCAAGATTTAGGGCTATATAGTTTTTGCCCTGTCTGCCTGCCTATTTGATGGCAAAAATCATAACTTTGCCCATAATTTTTGAGTGGTTTTGACTATATCTCACAAGTGAAATCACTCTGACAAGAACTTGTTCCGTTTTCTCAAATTTGATCTCTTAACCTTGACCTTGGAATTTTACCCACTAATACAAAAAAATGTTAAACTTAATTCTTAGTCCTAACTTTTGAACAGTTAGCACTAGGCTTTCATGTTTCGCAAGTGTATTCCTTTTGTCAGTATGTTTGAATACAGTTACCAACAAATTTGACCTTTAAACACTGACCTTGAAGTTTAACTCAATTTTTAAAAACTTTAACATTGGCCATAACTTCTGAACAGTGAACCCCTGGAAGTTTCATATTTCACAGGTGTAGTCCTTATGCCAAGGTCTTTCTTTAAAAATCAACATGTTTGATATTTTGACCTTGACCTTAGAGGCGAAACTGAGAAATTTCAATCCTCAATATTAGCTGCCATACAGGTATCATTGTTTTAAAAGCACCTCTTATTTGGGGGTATTCTCTCATCTTTGTTGAATTGCTATACTTTTGGTAAACATTTTGGTTTTTTTTTTCATTTATTGAAAAAAATCCATATACCGTTTAAGTGGAAATTTTAGCGGAACACAAATTTAGCGATTTGTCCTTAAAAACTGGTATTTTATTTTTTGCGAGATGTAAATTTAGCGATTTTAAAATGTTCATTAAAGAACCTATTACAAATAAAACGCAATTAATTTTAGCGATATCAAATTTAAGCGATCTCAGCACCCTCGCTAATAATGCCAAAATTAAACCCTCGCTAAAATTTCTACTTATACGGTATTTTATGAAATGTTCTTAATTTCTATTGGGAGAAAATCTACTGTTTAGAATGTCAGTTATAAATGTCGTAGACTCTGGCACCCACACAAAACAAAAGACCCATGGTCAACAGGAAGTGTTTTGAAAGGATAACATACTACAGATTGGACAAATGGACAGTAGATAAATAAACTGCTGCAGATATATCCCTATTTAAAAAATTACCAAAGAGTGAATGAAGAGAACCCAGTATCTTTGTTCAGAAGGGGTATTATCTTCTCATAGGCAGGGGTCAATGAGGTCATCTTTAGGCCTAAAGTAGGTCGAGGAGAGATTTTGTTCTTCTTTTGTTTTCATACAAGTATTTTATCTATTCTGCCTTTATAAAAGCTTGTCGGGTTTCAATTAAAATTATGGCAGCTTTTTGTAAGCTAGGAAGACATGAAGACCTTGAATGGAGAGTTTCTTTCTCTCTGGCAGAACAAAAACTTGTGTATGCAATGAACCACTGTCAATTTTTAACCTACGGCTTACTTAAACTGTTTTTAACAGAAATAATAAACAATGGACTTAGTGATGATGATAAATTACTGTGCTCCTATTACATGAAGACTGCAGTTTTCTGGGTGATACAACAAAATACAATCCCTCACTGGTGTCCACAAAATCTCCTGGGGGGTTTCTGGGTCTGTTTTAAACTCATCCTCAAATGGGTGTTTGAGGGGGTCTGTCCTAACTTTTTCATTCCAGATAATAACATGTTTTTGAGCAAAATCCATGGCATCAAACAACATCAACTATTTATAAGACTGTATGAGTTGTATGAGATGGGTTTAGCATTACTGCTATACAGTCCCTCCATTAGGCCTTATATTATAAATGTCCTTCATAAACCTAGACTCTCCATCTGTACAGATCAACAGACTCTGATTTCTGAGGCTGAGTTTGATATATACCTATACAATGAAATATTAAGTCATAACACATTAAACAAATTGTACATGCAAGGCTGTATGAGATATCTACATAAAATAGAACAGATAATAGGTTCACCCCTCCTGACACAGTATCAAGTCCTATTGCTACAGAGACTTACAGCTTCTGTCCTTCAGTACACTGCTTTTATATTACACATGAAAACTTACACTCATAAAAACAAATTGATGTACATAGCTGACAAAATCTCCTGTCACATGCTGAAATTAGCAGCCAAGTTTGGTTGTATTACTGACATGCTGTACATAGCCATGTATTATTACAAGACACTTCGATACAAGGAAGCTTTATCTATTGTTAAGGGGATCAAAGTCATATTAAAACAGCCATATGTGATTTATTGGGATAATGTAGATACAGAGATGTATATTGAGGCTGTAGGGGGGCAGTCCTGGTCTACAAAGATAAGACAGGCTTTAGCACGGGACATCAAACTTATCAATGAAAACCATTACATCAGTGAATTGATACCAGAACAACAGTCTGATCTAAACAACCATGTTTCTGAATTATCTGTCCCACCCTATATACTGTTATACATGCTAGAGATCTTGTGTTACAGACATGTAGACAAAATGAGAGCACAAAGAGCTCTAGATGATCTACAGACCTTAGTTCACTATGATCAGGGGCAGCTTATAGAATTAAATTACAGAGACATATCGTGGCAGATTCTAGGGATCTGTCAACAGATGACAGGGAACCTCCAGGCTGCTCTATACTCATACCAACATTCTCTCAGACAAGAACCAACCCACAAAATACAAATAGCTACAATTATCAGAATTATTATATTATTGTACAAACTTTATTTCAGTTAATTTTTGTAAACTTATTTATATGAATGATATATAACATGGCAGATTCTGTCAGAAGATAATACTGCATGGGAACCTCCAGGCTTCTCTATCCTCACACAGCAGTCACTCAAACAAAGACTATTCCACAAAATAAACACAGCTACACAAATGAGAATAGAACAGGAAGTTTTCCTCAATAAAGTTCTTTAATTAGTAAAAAAAAAAAATGCCAAAAATTTACAATGTTTCACCATCCCCCCCTTGTCATGATTTTAACTTAACAATTTAGAATCAACACTGCCCCGGGGTGCTACCACATAATTTCAGCTTTTCTGGCCAATTGTTCTTGCAAAGAAAAGTAAAATTTTTTAAGATTGTTCCTATTTATTTCTATTTAAAACTTGGATTCCCTATTGCCCTATGCCAGGTGGTCATGGTTTTAACAATTAGGAATTAACACTACCCCAGGATGCTTTCACATAAGTTTCAGCTTTTCTGGACCAGTGCTGCTTAAGAAGATTTTCTTTAGTCTTTTGTTGATTATCTCCCCTTCTAAGGGGACTTGGTCGTTTATTTAAAAAATTAAATTCCAAATCACCCAAGGATGCTTTGTACCAAGTTAGGTTAAAATGGCCCAGTGGTTCTTAAGAAGAAATCAAAAATGTGAAAAGTTTATAGACGGACAGACGTACGATGGACAACAGGTGATCAGAAAAGCTCTAGAGCTTTCCCCAAGTCACATTGGCAGATTTTTAGAGGTGTTTATCACCATCTTTATTCCCTTGAAAATGAATTAGCCTCATATTATGTCCCTATGTAAAGAAACCAATGCAGATCCATATAACATGAAGATGCTGTAATAACATTCTAATATCATTGTTTAATGTGGCTTTGTTGTAATAGAGATCTTTTCTCTGCATACAAATCTTGGCTTAACTAGAACTGTCCAAATGGGACAAAATACCCCCGCTGGGGTTTTCAAAAGTAAGTTTTTCCATAATAAAGATATGTATCAAAAACGAATAATGAAATTTTTCTTCCAGTGACCTTGAATTTCAACCAAATGACCTTGGGTCAAGGTCATGACACACCCTACAGCCATGGACAATCTTTGTGTGAAATGAAAACCTACTAAGTTTATCCTTAAAAAAAGATATGGACCTGACACAAATTATAAAATTTTTCTTCCAGTGACCTTGAACTTCCCTAAATGACCTTGGGTCAAGGTCATGACACACCCCTGCCCTGGGTCATTGGCAATCTTTGTGTGAAATGAAAACCTACCAAGATTATCCATAAGAAAGATATGGACCAGACACGAATTATGAAATTTTTCTTCCAGTGACCTTGAACTTCCCAGATGACCTTGGGTCAAGGTCATGACACACCCTTGGGTCATGAGCAATCTTTGTGTGAAATGAAAACCTACCAAGTTTATCCATAAAAGATAGGTATCAAACACGAATTTTGAAATTTTTCTTTCAGTGATCTTGAACTTCCCCAAATGACCTTGGGTCAAGGTCATGACACACCCTTGGGGTATAGGCAATCTGTGTGAAATGAGAACCAACCAAGTTTATCCAAAAGAAAGAAATGGACTAGACATGAACTATGAAATTTTTCTTCCATTGACCTTGAACTTCCCAAATGACCTTAGGTCAAGGTCATGACACATTCTTAGATCATGAGCAATCTTAGTGTGGAGTAGTAGATTCTAATGTTCATCTGTATGAAAAATATGGACCAGACACAATTGCACAGCTAGACGGACAGACAGACAGACGGATAAGGTGATTCCTATATACCCCTCCCCCAAACTACGTTTGCGGGGGGTATAAAAATGTGGCTCAAAATTAGGTCCAACTTTAATTCTATTGAATATAACATGGAAATAAATGAATCTATGGTTATTTTTTCTATCAAATGAATTTCAATTAACCCAGTTGTTCTGAAGTGCAAAACGTTTACAGGCGGACAGACAACCTACAGATAAAATGTTATCTATATTACCTCGTAAACCCTCACTCTGTGCCTTCTATACCTTTCATTATGTACTACTTAAGACTTAAATGGAAAAATAAGACGTAATTTCCATTTCATAAGCCCTTTTCTGCTTTCATAGGAAATAATTTGTTGCCCAATATATATACCTTTCCCATAAACTATATACTGTAAATCACCTTTTATTCATAAGAACATTATTTTCATGTAATTACCGTATATACTCGCCTATAAGTCGGTTTTTAGGGAGTTAATATCAGATCTTAAACTCTTTGTCCGACTTATAGGCGAGCTATAAAAAGAATGGTTTTATATGAGTCAGTCCAAATGAAATATAAGCTTATTAATAACAACCGACTTATAGGCGAACCGACTTATAGGCGAGTATATACGGTACCCAAGACAGATGGCCTGCTTGTGAAATTTTCATTCTTTGGTATATTCATATTTCTAAAAGATAATATAGAACAATAATAAAAATCTGTGGATGTTCTGTCTCCCTTAATAATGAGTTAATGAAAATTAAGTGATCTAGGGTTACTGTAGATTATTTACTCATCTGATTCATAAACTCATTAAACTTTTTTTTAAAAATTGTCACCAAAACACCAGCAGCATGTATCTCTTTTTCCTCCAATAAAGTCATCAAAATTTTTTTTTTAAATAATGGTTACACATGAGTTTTTTATATCTTTAAATTTAGTAAAGAAAGTCTTCTAAATCTTTCTGATAATGATAGTTCAAATTTCATCAAAGTACATTTTCTGAACAAAAATCAATCTGATTTCATGCAACATATTTCAGTTATTGATCGTGCACATTAGCTAAATAAAAATTTCTCAGTTGATTGACATGCGTAGAAAGCCAATATCACTTGTAACATCTTGTGCCTTCAGATTAACAAAGGGGACACTCAGACTAATGCCAGGTAACAAACTTTAAACAAAAAAAATTAAAACCAAAACACAAAATCATCAATATCAATAAACCTACCAAGGCAACTAAACTAAAGATGGAAAAAAAACTCTCACAAGCCTCCACGTAATGATACCGTACCTGTAAGGACAAACAGACTGACTGACAGGCAGCAGCAAATTAAAGCAATATGACTCTCCCTTCTTTGAAGAAGGCATAAATCACACTTAGCATACCGAGTTTGGTTCCTTTATACCCACAGACAGAATAGGGGAACAAAAAAAGCATTTTAACTAATCAGTTATCATCGGTATAGTGCCCCAAACCCCACAGGAACCCTTGACCATGGATCCATACATTTCACAATTTTGGAAAAGGCATCCTTAATGACATCATAAATGTTTGAATGTTTGATTAAAACCAAGGAGCAGATTTTCAGTATTAGTTATCAGAGCCACCCCTTCCATCCCCCCACCTTTCCCCTCTATCTTATTTCATGTCATGTATCCTTGATCCAGCTGGGGCTTGAAATTCACAATTCTGAAAGAAAGACCCTTGCTTATTTCTATGTATACTTTTTAATTGTAAAAGTTTTCTAGTAAATAATGTATAATTTTATAGCTGTATGGTACTTTATATAGTAATTGTTCAAACTGTATAGTACGTACTGTATAATTCTAGTGACTATGACTATGTAATAGTATATACTTGGTAATCTAATAATTGTGCACTACTTTGTAATTGTATAACTGTTTAATACTGTATCATTGTACAACTGTGTAGTACTCTATATTGACAATTAAACCGTGCAGTATTCTAGTCATGGCTACCCCTTACCAAACTGATATGTTTGCTGCAGGCCTGCAGCAAGTCTGCTGCAAGCTTGCAGCAAACAAAATTGTTCGCAGGAAGAAAATTTTCTTGTTCGCAGATGATTGCCGCTAGCTGCGATCTTGCGGCAAACATTGCAGCAATTGCTGCAAGCTTGCAGCAAATTCGCAGGAACCCAACATGTTTGCAGGAACATTGCAAGAAACATACACGCCAATTTAATGTTCGCAGCAAGTTCGCAGGAAACTTTTCACTATTCAAATGTTTGCAGGAAGTTCGCAAGAACAGTAAACAAGTCAAATCAGCCAATGAAACGCAGATTTTACTGGGTCAACACAAAACTGGCCATTTTGAAATGTTGGAATTGAAGCTGTACACGTTTCAATATTTTGTTAGGAATATACATCGTTTTGAATGATTAAAAGTGCCAAACTCTGGATGTAGGTGTTCATTCTATCAGTGATATCTAATTGGTAAGAAATGATTTTGATTTTTTTTGATATTTGAAAGAATATTTCTTAAAAGCACGTTTGAGTAACTGGTGTAAATGTTATGTCAAATCTAAATCTGTTTCTTATGAATTTCAGTCCTCTTTTTGATATCACAAATGTATGATTCTTAAAAGTATTAATGGACCCAAATCAGGTAAATGATATCAAATTATTTAGTAAATGTGTAATCACAAAAATATTCATTAAAAATTATTTGTAAAGTTCTTAAAGTTCAAGCTGTTCATATAAAAAGCTATCATGCACTTTAATTTTAAAAAGGTATGATAACTTTGTCTCAAGAACGTACAGAGGGCCTATCATAACTTCATAAAACTGCATCATTTCAGAAACATGTGGTGGATTTTCTCTAAACTTAACAGATTTAGGTCAGGACAAAGGCTTTCTGTGAACATGCTGCTTGTACAAAGGAATGTGCCAAAACCATAAGGAAATTGTTTGCTGCAAGTTAGCAGCAATGTTTGCTGCAAGCTTGCTGCAATGTTTGCGGCAGGCTTGCAGCAATGTTTGCCGCAGGCTTGCAGCAAGGTTTCCTTATTTGGAAAATCCAATGTTTGCTGCAGACTTGCAGCAAACCTCATTTGCATGGTAAAATGTTTGCAGCAAGCTTGCTGCAGACTTGCCGCTAACTTGCTGCAAACAACAATGCTTTGTATAGACTGTCATGCTTTCTTTGGCTACATTGCCGCAAGCTTGCAGCAATGTCTGCTGCAAGCTTGCAGCAATGTTTGCTGCAGACATGCAGCAAATATTTGCAGGAAGGCAATATTTTCGGTAAGGGACTAGAAGGACATCATCAACAACTACACAGTTATTGTTTACATGTTCACTGATGTAAATGGATAAAATCCCCAACATTCCTATCTTGTCATCTCGCTGTTAACATTCTTTAAGAAGGTCTTTTGCCCTTAGGGTTCTTATTTGTATGAAAGTTATTTGTAAATAAAATTTATTTCATAAAAATTTTTATGAAGCATTTTATCATCTGAAAATCCAATATTTTAAATGCATTTACATGAATAATGGATGCTCAATGATTCTTTATGATATCATAAATGTACATATATGTGTAGTTCAATGGTCACTGTAAATTACCGCTATTCTACACCCTGTATTTTATCACTCTGAATCACTATTGGTCATCGTCACAACAATGATTATAACGACAATTACAATGACAGTAATTAGGATGGAGAAGCAGATGATTTTTTTCTTCCTTGCAGCACACTGATGTTTCTTTGCCTCTGCTAACTGCTGATTCCCACTCTGTACATCCTCTACTGCTAGTTCTACGTGTTTCTCTATATTGTCTACCATTTTACCCTGGTCTTGTACCAGTCCGTGCATTTCTTTAAACAACATGTTGACCTCATGAATCTGGCTCTCAAGGTCACTCAGTTCCCGCTCTCGCTCCTGAAGGTCCTGTAACTCAGAAATAGCTTTCTGGGATTCCTGGAAATAAGGATCGATGAAAGCATTGGTGTTCTGAAAGTTCAGATCTAAATTCACGGAGTTTGTGTTGACGTCGTACTGGGGGTCCCCCGTTATTGCAGCTATCTGTCTCTGTTTATTAAGTCTAGCTTTTGTTCTCTCCAGATAACTAGCCTGGCTAGTTCTGAAGTCATTCATAGTTGTTCTAAGTTCATGTGATAGCCTTTCTATCTGCATGCTCTGCACGCGCTGTTCTGCGTTTGACAGAATCAGTCCTTTTTTCTGTGACTTGGGGTCGGTCCCAGCAGATGACAGGAGTTCTATGTCTTTTCTGATCGTGATGGAGCTCGACAGAATCTTGTCTGCCAGGTTCTCCATTCTTTGGATGTCTGTGTCGGACACTTTGGGGGCGCAGTACAGAGTGTTCTGCATTTTTTTAAGTTCGCTGACATCTGCTTTCAGCAGTGCCAGTTTCCCCTCCATCCCCTTCACTTTCTCGAGGAACCCCGGTAACGACAAATCATCTTCTTCCTCCTTTTTGGATTTCTTCCCTTTCTTTCCTCGCATGCTTTCCCTCTCATACTGATCTCGCTTGGCTTCGAACTCTGGTAACCGGTCCCGCACTGTCATTTTATCTCCACTATTTACTAACGTCCACAGTAAGGTAGTTAATTGTACAGTATATCCCTCAATGAACTAGCTTCTTTATCTTGTATTGAAGCATTAGATCCCCATATCTTACAGAACACAATCCACATATACTATCAATTAACAAGACAAGGTAAACATATTTAAGTCCCAGTTGATCAGTTGATCACAATATCCAACTATTAACCACAGTGTACACACTTCTATATCAGACACAGTCCTCAGAAGTAAGTAAGTTTCACTTTCAGTTATTTGGAGTTTTACAGTGGGAAATCCTTGTGTTATTTTTCTTTCTCACAGTTGAAGAAGTTTGTCATTGAAAGGGGACACACCACACCGTGAGTCATTGAAGCTTGACACTGGGGCACCCTGGGGGGTTATTCTAGTTCCACGTCAGTGGTTATCCCCCAAAACAGAACCTGGTAACACCACGCAACTAATCTGTTGCATAATAATTAGGAGAATTAATCAATACAGGATTTTACAATTCCTATTTTTAAATCCCCTGATTCATTCAATAGTTGTATGTCTTATCTCCAGATGGCTGTGAATTGCCTTCAGGTATAAAATCCTGGTCTGCATATATTAAATGTCACTTGATAAAACCTATACTAGTGCGCTTTAATATTTGTAATATACACAATATTGAAAGTCTGAGTCAAGTGTGTGCAACATACCAGGTCTGACTAAAATTCTCCTAAAATATAAACTTGTGTAAACCTCAGCTGTGCTTAAGTCAACTCGGGACTGTCATTGTTTGTTTGATATACATATACATACACATGTATATAGAGAGGTATAAGTATCATAAACTATATCTAGGATCTAGTAACTCCTTGTAATGCTGGCGGACATTATAGATCAATCAATAGAAGAAATTAATTTATACTGACCGGTATGTACCTTTTGTATAACCCGCAGGTAATTCTGCTTCAAGGAAATTAAAATGCAATAAAATGTAACAACTGAACTGTATCAATATACAGAGCTTTTTTTTAATAAAATAATTTGATTTATGTTTTTTTAAGATAATGTGATGAATGTGATATGAAAAAAGAAAGGTTGCTCTCAATCAACTTCAATTTATTTATATTGACAAGTATTTCACAGAAACCGGTCAAGTTTAGACATACAATCATACATATTTAATTGTACACATATTAATGCATATACATGTACTGTTAACTCCTGTCGAAGACAAGTGCAGTGTAATTTAATAAGCTGGTCTGATATAAATACTAAACTGCCTGTATGAACATACTCCAGCTGTCTAGACTTTGTAACTTTTTAAACACTTCCCTTAATAAAGTTGTTTCTTGTAAAGTGGCTAAGCCTAATTTACCAGAACCTACGTTGTATTTTCATATCACCAGTGTTTTTAACAACTAAATAAAGAATTGAGGAACTTATTCAAACTGAATGAGGTAAATATTACCCTTCTAAATGTGAAATCAAAACAAAAGTCATCCTGACATCAAAATATTTAAAGTAAACAGATACCCAGTCATGATCTTTAACAAACACTACAGAGTAGCCCCCCTTTGATTGTGATAGTTTCATTGTCTAAGTCAAACATGATATAGTAATCTTATAGGGCAACTGCAATCACACTTGGATTAGGACTTACTTCTAGCTGTTGTACTGATAACATTTTTACTAATACAATTACCAAAAAAAAATTCCAAATCATAGTCAATTTAACAATAAAATCGTCTTTTTCAAGTGCAGGAAAAATGCACCCATTGATTTCATGTAATTAGAAACAAAATTGAATTTTTAAATATTTAATTTCTCCTTTAACTTTAAAGTATTATTCCTTTCCACAGTTTCCAGCTTGTATTTTTTAAATGAATAAATTAAAAATATCTCAGATCAGAAACAAAATAATATAATAAATGACATTCAGACAACCTTTTAAACCCAAAACTTCAGTTTCTTTTTTTACATCATCAAACTTTAGAAACAGGTAATCTTAAAATGGTAATTTGGTTACAGGTATTTTTTTTAACATAAACAAAGTTCACATGTAAAAGCTAATTGTCTTTTCATTTACTATGCAGATTGTTTGGTAAACACTTTTAATGCATTTAGACGTTAAGATTTGTGAATTTTCAGCTGGAATACACCAACTGTACCCTTTTCATATATATGTGTTTCAGTCCCAGGTCCCCCTTTTTCCTTTCCTCTCAAAAAATTATAAATTGTTCTAAAAGACCTTTTCAGCTTATATTTAAGAGGCGTCTAAATGTTCTATAAAAAGTAGGTATTACACTTCAGATATTCAGGAAATGATCAAAACTGCTGAAGAAAAATTTCCAGTTTCCCATGTAACAATATTAGAAACACATACACACATTTGCAATGGATTAATTGAGTTTATAACTAAATTATTTACAGTTAATCCTAAGTATATAAAATAAAGTAATTTCACAAACTGAAAAAAAAATATTTTACTTAATTTCTCCTCCTTAGGACAAAAGTTACAAGTAAGTGTACTGTGTTAGAGTAAACATTTTTCTAACATTTTTCTCATTTTATAATGACAACAAAAAATAATAAATTCAAAGAATTGTTGTCCCCAGCTTTTGGTATCTCAGGGTTGAGATGCAGTAATTTATAGCAAGTCTTGATTGTCATGTCAGGCCATCTCTCAAAAAGTGAGATGGCTTTCATCCAAAGTTACAGCCCATTGAGCCCAAATTGAAATTTTAGATCAGTAGGTCAAAATTCTAGGTTATAGTTAAGGACCTGAAGTCAAAAATCATAGATATTTCTGAGATATGTTGTCACAGGTGATGAGCGCTCTGTCTTTTCTCATTCAAAAGTTATAACTCCACTTAAAAACATTTTGTGACAGACATACAGACTACCAGAGTAATGGGATTAAAATGTACCCTTGCTTCCTCAAAAGCAGTTGACATTTAAAAAACTGGTAATACTTGAAATGTTCTTGGACAGTAGTTATAGAGTTCTATCCACTGTGTATGATGTGAGAGGAATCAGTGACTTACCTCCCTTGGATCGCTGATTATTTCTACGGTTTTATCTGTATTGTATTTAACTGGTGCCCCGCCCTCCTGGATGAGTGTTCCATACCCTGTAGGAGTGAAGAATGCTGGGATACCTGCACCACCAGCCCGAATTCTCTCTGCCAAAGTCCCCTAAACAGATGAAAACATTGATTTCAATAACTGGTCCTTTGACAAACTTTTCTTAAATTTATGATTGACAGGTGGAGAAGACAAAGTCTAATTCTGTAGTTTTACATTCTTTAAAAAATACTGAATCAGATGCAGCTAAACAACCATAATCAACAAGACAAAATAAGAGAAAACAAAGGAGAAATCAATTATATTAAAACAATCACAGGTTTTACCTCGGACAGGTTGACTTATAAATAAGAACGTGTTTGTTGCTATGGGGTGGGGTGCTACAGAAATGATCACAGGTTGTTACCTGGGGGGTGAGTTCCACTTCTAGTTCTCCCTCAAGGTATTGTCTCTCAAACTCCGCATTCTCCCCCACGTAGGATGAAATCATCCTTTTAATCTGAAAGATGAGGATGAAAAATAGAATCATTCCAAAATCATTCTCCTGATAAGGGAAGGAAACCATGACTGGTGAAATACGAAATTTTATTATATACCTAATGTGAATCACCCAATTTTATTGTTGAATTTACGCTATCACGTGACACCGTGATCTGATTTTCTGGATCACCAACATGTTGTTTTCTGAATCCATATCACCACTCTCTGAAACTGATGACGTAGTACGCAGAAATATGATGTTATTTTTCTTGCGCGTTAAAAAGTCCCTTGTTATTATGCTTTGTTTTATGAATAAATGTTATGCAATTTATCTCTAAAGTTTTCTTTAGCTATTTATGAGGGGGTACATAATAAATTTATCATTATAACAGTAACTTGATCCGAAGAGCTGTATCACGTCTCGTTGACAGGCGCGTCCAGTTAGATCTGATGATCCGCGCCTGTCAACTTGACGTAATACGACCCTTCGGATCAAGTTTCTGTTAAAATAATATATATATATCAACTGAACATCTCTACAAGAATCCATAATTAGGATATCAAAATATCTATGAATGAAACTAGACCAAATTGCTGTATATATCTGAAATAAAATGTAATTTAATATGAGACAAAACAAAATAATGTAAGGATTCTAGCTTAGAATAAAATATTTGTGTAAATTAAGTTTTCTGTTTCATTAATAATTTTATTTTGTGCATGGTAATTGTATAGATCATAACAATCTAATGAAAATTAGATCTTTGATCCGCTCCGATCAAACTGGAGTGGATCAAAGATCTAATTTTAATTAGATTGAGATCATAAATGTTTATGAACTTTATAAGGTGATTTCAGTTTGCAAAATTTTTTTCTGTACTTTCTAATTTCTTTCCCCATCTCTTTAAAAAATAATATCAGTGGATTCTGGGGTCATAAACAGATAAACATATATTCAATGTGTAGAACAAAGTTAGGATTGGCAAGGAGATGCTACTTTTAGGTATTTTATTTTGACCTGATGATGAAGACTTTTCATTCGATTCCACATACACACATATACAGTCTTGTCAGATGTCACAGTTAATTATTTTATGTTTATTCTGCCAAGGAATGCAGAAATGGACACTGACCTGTTTTTGTCGAAGTAAGAGGCCCAAACCAAAGTTGTCCACCCCCGCATTATTACTGACCACTGTCAGACCTTTGACCTTTGTCTGAAGTAAGGCTGCAATCAGGTTTTCTGGGATTCCACACAGACCAAATCCTGTAAACAAGCACAGAGATCAAATCCTGATATTATACACACAGATAAAATCCTGTAAACATCAAACATAGAGCCAAAATCCTGATATTATACACAAGATAAAATCCTGATATTATATATGCACAGATCAAATCCTATAATATACACAAAGATCAAATCCTATAAATATACACACTTATTACATTTTCAACAGTGAAATACTGTAAATTATCCATTGAATAAAAGTGATATCCTGTCACAGTGTGACAAATACCGAAAGTGCGGTAAAACTCTCAATATTACCTTCCCATAACGAAAGTTGTACAGTTGTAAAAATATTCCTTGGACTGTTATAAATATAGAGAGAGTAAATAAACCATTCTGACAGAGAATAGGACTGTCAAAGTTCCGCAAATTTGTTGCTAAAATCCATGTTTACAGTGTTTTCAATCTTGTATCACTTTGTCTATGATGTCTCAACTGCTCAACTATGACGTCATGTAGCCTATGACTGTATATACAAAAAGACAAATAGGCAAAGGGAAAATCAAAGGAGATGTAATAAACAGAAAATTCTATGTTTTGCAGTTGAATATGGCATTTATTTCACTCAGAGGCAGAATTTCTTATACATTTTCACTCATGCTTCTCACTCATGAAAATATCAAAAAATCCTTTCCCACTCATGAAATGAAAATCATATTCAACTACAAAACATTGAATATCCTCTATTAATCAAACCCAGCTGATAAAATACACACAGATCACGTCCTCAAAATATACACAGAGTCAAAATCCTGTAAATATACACAGAGATCAAATCCTATTAATATACACAAGAGTCAAAATCATGTAAATATACACGAGTCAAAATCCTGTAAATATACACAGAGATCAAATCCTATAAATATACACAAGAGTCAAAATCCTGTAAAAATGCACACAGACCAAATCCTTTCACATTGGAACTTACATACCTACCACCATTGGATTCTGATTCTACCTACCTCTCTTACTCTCTTACAGACTACATAAACATATGATTTGGGAACTAACTGACTTACCTCCTACTAGAAGTTTACTGTCATCCTTATAATGCGACTTACCTCCCACTAGAAGTTTACTGTCATCCTTATATAGCGACTAACTCCCCACCAGAAGTTTACTGTCATCCTTATAAAGCGACTTACCTCCCACTAGAAGGTTACTGTCATCCTTATAAAGCGACTTACCTCCCACCAGAAGTTTACTGTCATCCTTATAAAGTGACTTACCTCCCACCAGAAGTTTACTGTCATCCTTATAAAGCCACTTACCTCCCACTAGAAGGTTACTGTCATCCTTATAAAGTGACTTACCTTCCACTAGAAGTTTACTGTCATCCTTATATAGTGACTTACCCCCCACTAGAAGTTTACTGTCATCCTTGATGTCGTGTATAGCTTCCTCAGCCGAGTCAAAAAACTTGGCTCTATAATGAGTTCTGGACGTACTAAACTTCCGCGACAGCTGTAAGAAATAAAGAAGAAATCATTACCACATTAGAGCATACTGATTGAAGAATAAATTAAACTTGAAAGAATGTTTAATGCCAAGGATGGGACTAATTATCCGATGAGGAATGAGAATAAATTGTCAAATATAAATAACAAAAAATATAATTAGGGCTTAGCTTATAATTCATAACAATTTTTATACCCCCTGCTTGAAAAGCAGGAGGGTATATAGTAATCGTTAATTCTGCCCGTCTGTACGTCCGTCCGTCCGTCTGTTACGCTTTGGGGTACCCATCTCTTATCCGCAACTCCTCTCATACCACTGAATGAAATTTGATGAAACTTTCATAGAATCTTTATTACATATTGCCATTGCATGTGCACCTGATCCTATTTTACTTTTTGATCCGACACATATTTTGGGTTTCCAGGCCACAGCAAAACATGGACTTTGCAATTATAACTATATGGAGGCGGGGGTATCATTTAGTGAGCTCATCGCTCACAGTACCTCTAGTTTTCAATGTTTTACTAATATTTTTTAGATTTAATCACTGACAAATTAGCCTATTTAATTGCCAGACCAATAAATCATTATTCAACTTTTCATATCTCCCATGTGCACTTTCTAACACAACATAAAAGACCAAGCAGCTATTGTAGCCGACATTATAAGTCATTCAGTGCTTAGGGGAAAACTACAACCGAGGACATTCGGGTAAAATCATGGTTTGATATTTTACGTATGTGATAACGAGAAAGACAGAAAACAATAGCATTGTAAGATCGATGCAACAAGAGAATTAACATTATTCTAACCTCGCTAGCTGGTACGGAATATAAGGCCTTCGTCTGTAACACAGAATTTCTTGTACACACTCCAAAGACCTTGACTGCAGCCATGTTTAAAGGAGAGTAAACAACAAACCTGGGGCGCGGATCTTACATTTCTGTTCCCTTTTATTTTGACACACTGTCCTCAGTGTATTTTAGTCTGTTCAAAGTTAGAGAACAGAAAGATTACCTATTTCAATACGTCGTTATTTTGGTTTAAGAATGATAAATGAAATAGGAACGAACAATTTTGCAGAAACATCTTTCATGAGGACTCCACCAATGAAAATTCAGTTTTTTGACACACCTACTCGTATTTTTCATTATTTAAAAAAAAAAACCAACAAGCAAACGAGTACTTCATTCCAACTGTAGGTTGTCATTCCGGGTACAGGATATGCTTAAAAACTCTAAAACACGTGTACACGGGGTTAATTCGGCCCTGCAATATTTATAAACTAAGACATTTCATTTGAAAAAATGATTAAACCTATCTAAAGTTATAACACAAAAACTTTTTTTCATTTTCTCTAATTAGAATTTAAGCCCAACACCCCATTCATTCTCTCCACTAAAAAAATCCAATAAAAACTTTTAAAGCTAATGTTTTTCCTTTGATAAATATCAAACATACATGTAATAACTAAATTCCATATATATATGCAGAAATGACAATTTTAAAAACTGTTTAAAAAATATCAATATTTCAAATTATACGTACTCTAAAAAATGAAATGAAGAAAATACAAATTTAAGAAAATACTGTGTACCCTACAACTCGAAATTAAGGACCTATAGGTACTTTATATAGTGAAACATTTAAATAATAAAATGCTTTCTTTGTTTGTTATTACTGGAATGAACGGAAGCAGCTGTTGCAGAAAAAATACATAACCCGCGTAAGCGGGTTATGTAAATTTTTTCTGCAATAGCTGCGACCGTTCTCTCCAGTAACAACAAACAAAGAAAGACATTTTATTGTTTATATTTATATCTGTTTAAATAATCAATTAAAGTAGGATTAAAAAGATTAATTATTGTATTAATGATGCTAACGTCTTTATACGTTTCATTGATGGAACAGCCACTGATCAAGAAATCTGTACAGGCGACATGCCTAATGAAGTTCATGCTGTGATGAACGCACTGGGGTTTCTTAAGAAATAAAGGAGAAAATATTCAGTGGATGTAAATATATGGAGATAAAGAACAGCTGCAGTATTCAAGATCAAAATCCCAGAGCTCAATACAAAATAGGAGCAGATCAGATGCCATGGAGAAGTGAGCATCCCCTGCCGACCGGTGACATCCGCCATGTGCTCCATGTCATGATCGGGAAATAACGGATCAAATCCGTCGTCTAACGTTATTCAGTTTAACTAATAATGGACTAACAATTAGTATGAAAAACGTAAGTATTTGACTCAGTGATAAATTGTATTTGCTGACAAGGTCATTGTATCGACCATAGAACTTACGAAATGATGACATTAAACGAGAATGCTGATATTCTTGTTTCATCAACTTGTTTGTCAATAATTTACCTCGTTTTAGAAATTGTTCATACGTAGAGCGTGCTCTTGCGTATCGAAATAACTGAGATACATAAACTCCGCGTGTAGTTGATGATCGAAGGCATGTTGCTGCATAAGTAAGGGAAGCTGACGATAGAAAAGTTAAAGTCATAACGTTTATCTTAGAGCCTGGTTGTTAGATTACCATTAACGTCTTTTTCAAGTTTCTTTATAAATATCAAGCTCAACCAGCTCACCAGGATGTATCGTATCCACATAAGAATGTTAATTGACAATATAATGTATACAGCGATGATATATCTAAATGTCGAGTTGTGTCCCCAGCAAGTGTTTGCTTCTTTTCACGCATAAGATTTTGCACAAATAATTCTGCTTCATCTGAATACAAAATTAAAATGGATCTGCTAATAACGGGGCGCAATAAGTATCAATGGGAATTCCTATACATGGCTTTAATTTTAAGACATGTATGTTAAGACCAACATGGGTATTGTCAATTAGAAACTCAAGCATTTTTTTATGTCGACTTCAGGGTACTTGTGTGTACAATCAGAATGTTTTTTAACAAAAT